TGAGTCCATCGTTGGTTTGGTGTAGGGGGTCGCCATGTTAGACGATGTCTCTCCTTATGCTTAAAATTTGTGTTTGCTAAAAATAAACGATTGTCTGAGCATAGCTGCAGCAGACGATCACCATTATCTGTTCGCTGTGTCGGAATACTAAAATATCCACCTAAATGCCTTTCTGTTTGGTTTTAACTGCCTATCTGAGCATTAAAATCACCTGCTACGGGTACTATGTCTGAGCGTTTAGCTTTCTGAAGAAGTTCAGATAGCTTTCTGTAAAATCCATCTTTCACTTCATCTGAGCTGCAGCCGGTGGGAGCCTAGGCAGAAACGACGAAAAGACAACGACGTGTGTCCCTATCCTTTCGAGTTCTTACGGAGCCGTTTAGCCGAACAGCACATGAACGACTGTTAAAGGGGATTCACTCTAGCAGTGCTTGTTCCGCCCATGCTTGGTGCTATGCCTACTCCTGCCAGTCCACGAGAGCTGGCCGTCTGGTCACCAGACACACGGAGGGTGCATCTCGTTGGCTCTCCGTTTTGCCGAGTTGAAGTCAAGTGAATGACCACACTGGGATCCTGTATGCGTGTTTCGGAGACACAGCATACATCAATCGTACGGGATTCTAGAGTTCTAGACAGAAAAGCCTGTTGGGTTCGTACGTTGAAGGCTCCAATGTGTAGTTTGGAGCAAGGTTCCAGTAGACCTGGGACATTGTTTTGCGCACTAGAATCGTTGACTGTGATGAAACTTGAGGAGGAAGCCGAAAGAGGAAGTTTAAAGGTGAAAGTCGATGTAGGAGGGATAATAGGAATTGAAGAGGGAGGTTGAATATGAGTACAGTGATCTCGAGTGCTGTTAGAGGTATGAGGGTGGTTATCACTTCCCGGTTGCCCACACCGTGGAAGGGTTCTTCTGGAGGTGCCTGAAAACGAGACTGGATTAGAGGTGGTCTTAGTAACCTGGGAGCGTGACCGCAGTGCCCAAGAGACAAGTGCTTGAGGTCGGTCACACACGACCATTTTATGTGTAATTTTTGTGTTAGCTCCGTACTTGTTGAGACCTTACCGCCGGAGACGGATATCCATGGGATAGGGTGAGGTGTGCATTTTTTGGGTCGACCTTTTCTAACCGCACCCTTCCTTGTGAGAAGGCAGCATCACTGTCATGCTGGTTGTCTGAAGGAAACACCTTACTGCTGCCACACCTCTGTACAGTCAACAGTACGACTTCGCCTTCGGACCTTGGGTTTGTTGCTTTTAGTCTTACCGCTCTTCAACCGACCTGTCTTCCATGGTAGGACCTTGAGTAGCGGTTGTTCCAGCCAGTATAGCTCGGTTGCCTCATCACGATAGGCAAGCCCGACCACCACGTCAAGGTAGCAACAACGGTCGGGGCAGAAGAAACAAGATATTTTTGAATAATTAAGGTGTTTCGATTGAGATCATGAATCGATCAATATCAAACCGCCATTGAAAACCTGGAAGCACTGGACGGCTGTTTCGTCCTAGCGCGTGACTTCTCATCAGTGAGCGTCCACGACCCCACACGCGGGATTCGAACCCAGCACTGTCGGTCTGGATTAAGTCAGAATGTTTTGTGTAAAGTTCGGGTGAAATTACTGACTGTCTGCTCAAATCAAACAACGTCATGAACGCTGCTCAAGCAAGTAATCCAATAACTGCAATACAAATGATTCAACTACATTAAACCACCGTTTCACTACAGTGTTACATAGCCATTCAATTATTAATACCTAAGTACAAGTCAGATACTAATATTCCTAACTTAATTCAACACTTATGAAATGTTTCGCAAATAAGAATTATTACCAAAATACATATGTCGGTGATCAATTTTCAAGTTGGGTCTCATATTCAGTCAATACAATACCATGGAGAAAATGTCAGCCTCACAAAAACCCAAACGGTATTCGTAACATTTGTGTCTTTTTACACAAAGGTTAATCACGGCCCAGCAAGTGAAATCGACTTAGATGAACAGAAAAACATTTGCAAAAACAATAAAAATATAAATGAATTAGTGTTTTGTCGAGATCACCTTCATTTGTATTCAATATTTGCTATGGTTTGGTTCAAACTACTAATAACAAGCTCAGTAGTGATTTAATTTTTGATGAGTCCTAATCAGAAGATGTGACTAATGCTGTTGGAGGACAATAGTGCTAAATCGTAAATTGATTGGTGTTTGATACATGTATCAATAGACCCCAAAGCCAATGATCCCAACGGTTTTACATTCGTCATGATAACTGCTGGGCTGGGATTACATCTCTGGGTTTAGGGTAGTGAGTATGCACTCCTGAGAAATCTTATGCTAGTACGAAACAGTTGTCTTTCAATGCATGATTTTCAATTCTAGCCCAAATATGAATAATCTGAGACGAAAATTGCTGATAAAGTTAGTAATGTTATCAAATTTAGTAACACTCTATGAATTAAGCCAACCAAACTACAAAAAAACATAAACGAGTTGATATTGACAAAATAATCTCCACAGTAAGTTCATATAGTGACACAGAATGATCAGTTCTAGTGCTGAATATTAACAACAGGAGTTTACAAACCCTTACTGATAACTTTATTTCTGTTCAATAATTTAGTAGCTTAATCGGTAAACGATTGACTATTATTAAGAAAAGTACTGGGTTTGAGTCTAATGTACATAACAGACTGAAATACAAGTACACACAGTTGACGAGTCCCTAATAGAGAGAAGAGTTCACCCTACATCCCACTAGCATGAGTGCTCACTGCCAAAGAGTGTCATTCTTGTACGAAACAGCTTCCCGTTGCTTCGCGGTTTTCAATGATAGTTGAACTATTATCAATTCTTGATGTGAGTAATTTAAACTCAACAAATTTCACAAAACTCTAAAGTAGCAACTGTAATAATAACCTCTTTCTTCTGGTGAAAGAATAGATTATGAAGACCTCGGCATCTGAGGGAAAAGATAGAATAAAATGGACAGCTCAAAATTAACTAGACGATTTAGACTTCGCAGATGACCTAGCCCTCCTATCGCATACACACGAACAGATTCAGCCAAAGACAACCAGTGTATCAGCAGTTTCTTTATCAGTAGGCTTCAGCATACACAAAGGTAAAACCTAGGTCCTCAGTGGTCTATTGGTTAGGCGCTCGCGCGCAAGACTGATAGGTCCTAGGTTCGAATCTCGCAAGGCGGGATCGTGGAAGCGCACTGCTCAGAAGTCCCGTACTAGGACGAAACGGTCGTCTAGTGTTTATACGTTTTCCATGGTGTTCTTGCTTCAATTGACTCATGAGTTCAACTATTGAGAAAAATATTTGCTGACTATTTTTCCGTATCAAATAGTTCCTTTGTTGGAACTGCTACGTTCAGTGATGCACTGCAGACAGATCGTTAAACTATTCTGACTTCTATGATCATAATGACAATATTCTCTACTATAAATTGTGCATCGGTAACAAATTGTCAGCATTAGTTGTGTAATATTACGATAAACTTCAGTAGCCTGGACCTGTCGATTCATCTTTAATAATGAAAATTTTCAATCAGTTCAGATGCTGCAAACACTTTTCTCATCAGATTTTCAATACATGAATTCCAATATGTTGTAACGGGTGACTGCAGGTTTTGATAAGCAGTATTTATATCGATCGATTACAGTGGACAAGCAAACACGTAGTGGACGACCTAGTGCCCTGGTTGGTCCCGCTTCCCTGTCTGGCCTAGAACGCAAGTCACAGCCTCTGAGTTATGAATCATTGTATTTCAGACACACTCTATGCTAACCAAACAGACCACATCGTACCATGAAAATAGAAAAAAACATCTACACAACATTTAACGAGTGAAATAAATAACGGCCAATAGGAAATGTTCATTTAACGTCAAAGAACATCATTAGACTGAACATGATAATGATTGGCACATTATTCCTCAGCATCCATAACACAATATACTTGTCTTTGTTCCTTTTTACTTATCAAAAGAATAATAATAATAAAGAGAACATTATACGAACAACTGGAGTAGCTTGATGCAACATTTCCAGTATTGAAGTAACGTGATAAATTGTGTAAGCCATTCACACAACACCGCATTAGTACATACAGTTAGCACTTATATTCATATTGAATTCAATAACAAATTTAAAATACGAGGGTTTATTTTAATACTTGCACAGTTCATCCATCCATCCATCAATCAATCAATCAATCAGGTATTCATGTTCTATTCACCATTGACTTTGATTTCAGTAGTAAATCAGTAGTATCACGGATAGTTCTGATACAATGAAAGTGTTACTCAAAGACAATTATATAAAAAAGTGTATACTTGATAAAGAACTATCAACATGAGTTTCAAGTTACTTTTTTTCTTATCAATATGTGTGTTTAGATCTGTTATTATATGTTTACTTACTCAATCTTATTACTGATCAACTTACAAATCACTAACATTATGGTGTGTTCTGATGTCGACAGATATAAGTAGTATGTATCATCAATTGAAAGTGAAATGCCTGATGGTAGAAGGTTAAGAAGATCGAAGAGAATGAAAACAGAGAATGATTGGTGTAGAAACGAAGGAACAATCAAGTCTGAAACGACTAATTAACACTTTGCAAATGAAGTATTCACTGTATGGTTCTCAGATTTTACCAAGAGATTCTGTAATGTTTTACTCAAATAAATTTAGTTATCCTCACTGGTGTTCCCGTTCAGTACGCATTTATTACATGATAAAAAGATGCATCATATAGACAAAACTTTATCAACTTTTCCAGATAATTATGAAATGGTTACACTAGTCGGTGTCAAAATAGTCCTTTCTATACATAATTACGACAAGATACACCATTTAGTTTATAGACCGATCAGTATAATAATTATGATTAGTTATTAGTTCAATGGCTATACGGCATGAATACTTTATATATATTTATATTGAAAATTGAATGGAAACAACTGTGTCCCTCTGGTTTGTTTCAATTACCTGATGAAAGATGCGGAACTTGATCATTATGATTGGCGGCTTTCAAATACAATGATGAATGTGTCTTGTGTTTAATTATGATTGATCGATATTTGTCGAAGTTTTCAACATCATATCATTGTGCTATTGTACAAATCCAATTGATTATTATTTGAGGATAATTTTGTGTTTTGTTTTCCATTTCTTGTAAATTTTCAGTGATTTGTGCAACAAATGTGGCAAGTTCATCAGCTATAAAGTAAATAAAAATGAATAAGTGTTATTGATTCTTTTTCTTTAAACAAATAATTGATAATTTTAATAGTTGAGATCATGAGACAATTAAAGCTAGGCCTAGATGGAATACCTGGAAGCACTGGACAGCCGTTTTGTCTTAGTATAGGAATCCTTAGCAGTGCATATTCAGGACCCAGCATCGCGCGAACTTCTAAATCACTGAGCCGACATCCATTGATAATTTAAAATAAACATTGAACTGACGAATTTTCTATTCAATCAGTTATCAATCAATGCGAGATTGTCTGTTCAAACCTTCGTCTGACAAAAACCTGTGCTTCCCTTAACTAATATCAGTCTGAGACCAATTTAACCTACAAATACACCTATCTTTCTAAAACTTATTCAGTTGAATTACATTTAGAATTTATTATGAAAAAGATAAGTTTATCATGCTTTTCACTCTGTATTTATAGGTCAAGTTGAAAATGCCTAATATTAATTGCTTCTGGAAAAAAGAATTAGAACAAAGGATTTCGTTATTTGTAAACTATTTAGAATACCTTAGCAACATAACTATCTCACACCCAACACGGTTTAACTGCACTCGTCTCAAATTTTCACAAAAACTTTCACAAATTCCTCTCGAAGTTGACCGTGAAACCTGAAGGTACTTGGGTTCGATCCCTGCTGAGATTGTTAGTACGCACTGCTGAGGAGTCTCATTCTAGCATGAAGCATCTGTACAATGAACCGCATGTTTTATTTAATATCCCCCAAACCGTTGTTCATTCATGAAAAATACCAAGAATAGATAAAAAATTCTCGTTTCTCTTTCAATGTAACAATCATTTTAACTGGAACAATTATGTATTTATGTAATTTAAGAATTATACCAAAAGAATCATTGCAAATCACATGTATCATTATTAGGATAGTTATTTTCACTGAGTATTTCTTACTTGTCTATACATATCTAGTTTCAGTCACCCTCACTCCCTCTCTCTTTTCTAACTTACTTGGTAATTATGATATTTATTTACAAGATATATATAGTGGTCTGTACATATATGCATATGGGGGGATGGCTTTGTAGTATAAATAAATAGACAAATAAAACAAGTACGCGTCTAAAGTCCAAATTTATAAATGCTTGTGCATTTAAAACAAGAAAATGAACCGATTTAACTTAGATAGACAATGAAAATCTAACATCACTGAGTACCCATTTTGTTTTACCAAAAGACTTCTCAGCAGAGAGGATCCACGGTACCTTTGAAACCTGGAATTTTAATTCTTGATCACTGATTCGGCATCCATCTAATTTTAATATCATTGAATGCTGGATCAATTGATAAGATATTCCATTCTAGATTACGGAGTCATGCATACGAATTGCTAAGGTGTCCATCACTAGCCCCACGGCAATTTTTTTTAAAAACCCCCCACCCACCCTTTTTTAAAATGTTTTTTCAACCCAAAATTGCAATATTTTTCATCCTGTTTCGTCCAATGAAATAGCTAGTTTTAAAGTTCGTTTTTAATTTGTTAGTCACGTTTTGTCGGATTGTTATAAAATATCAGTACTTGTCGACGAAGTACATTTTAATCATCATTATGGAGGAGAGTAACGTGCCTAGTACAAACGCTGTTGTTTCTCACGTAACAGAAATGGAGGAAGTATTTTTGACAACCTTGTTTCTCGTTGCGTTCCCATCGGTTGAAGCGTTGAAGTCCGCTATCACAAATTATGAAAGATCAACTTACTGTCATTATGTAGTTCGAGATTCGCATTTGTGCAGAAATGAAAACACGTACATTAAATTTGTGTGCTGGAGACATGGCCGTATAACATCTAGCGGTTCGTCACAGCGGATCAGACGGAGGAGGTAATTTTATAAATGTTATTAACATTTTTTGTCATGAAGGGCTTCCATGAACACTCAATGTCCGGCCTTCATGTATTGTAAGATTATCGACGGCTACTGGACTGTTGTACGTGGGAATGTGCATCACAATCACGAGTGCAATTCCCTAAGGTACCAAGGAAATTCATGGGTGCACAGGTTAACAGAGGCCCAGTTTGAAAATGTGCGACCGCTGCTAATATCTGGTACTGCTTCATTCCACATTATGAATTATGCTTACCATTCTTATGGGAAACTACTGAATGATCAAGATATCTTTAATATGCGGTACAAAGTGTTCTCACAGGCAAACATTCCTGGTAAGCCATTTGTCGATTTATAATGTAAATGATAGGTGATAACGGAAAATTGAAAGCGCACATAACATCTTTGGGTGGGCTATGCGAATACGAATTAGACGATGAGAACTGTCTATCGTACTTTTTCTTCACCACTGGTGATCAAAAGATTTTTGCAGATCGTTTCGGTGATGTTATTGGTTTGGACGGAACATACAAGACGAATAACGAGAATATCTATTTATATCAGGTCGTAGCCCTTGATATGAATTTGAAGGCAATACCCGTTTGTATTGCATTTATAAGTCGCGAAACATCGACTTTGATTTCTCGATTCCTGTCGTTCTTCCAACGGTCAACCAACAGTCGACAGGTGGTAGGCATTGTGACAGATGATTCACCTGCAATAGCTGCTGCCATCATGCAGGTGTATCCAAATGCTCACCATATCTTGTGTCGCGTCCACCTTGTTCGCAGTGTTATAAAGAGGGTAAGTGTTTCGTTCATTAACATTAACCCAGTAACCTTAATTGTAGAGGGTACGATCAGAAGTATTTTTTCGCCTGATGTTTACTCAAACGGTTGAAAGGTAAATCAAAAGCAACATAACATTATTTTGTAGTTTTAACAATGTATTATCCTTGATCGAAATATCGGACGGAACGTTTGCCCGATATGTCAGAGACCACCTATTACCGAGAAAACACAAATGGTCTACAGCTTTTCGACCATCAGCAACGCTACTTCAACTCAATAATACGAACTTTGTTGAGACAAGTCACCGAATTTTGAAGATGCATCAACTGAGTCGAAAAACACCTGTGCTGACATCTATTTTTAGTGTGCTACTTCGCGTTGGATATTGGATGGAAGCAAGATTACAGAAATATACTTCAGATTGCCGGATAAAAGCCAACATCGGCCAAGAGCCAGCAATGTGTGGACTTCAGGAACGACTGACACCAGCTGCATGTCAAGTACTGAAGCGGCACCTGCGCACTCCTATAACGGAGTTTGTAATGTCTGTTGACTTATTCACGGCTGTGGACATCTGTAATCTTGCACAGCCGCCCTGTGAAACTGGTGATGAAGTGGGTTGGGTTTTCTGTCCTTGTGAAGTAATGTTTCATAGATTCTGTGCTTATGACCCATCACCGAAAGTACAAGCAGTCCACTGTCCGATGTGTGACGCCATTACCAACTAATAGTTTGGACGTCCCACCGCGAGAACGATTAAAGGCCCTTTTCAGGGCCACCCACAAATTGATTTAAATTCATTTTTCCTAATATTGTTTTCGTCTATGGTAGAAGTCAAGTGATTAAGCACTTTTTAATGTCAAATGCATGTAGATATAACTTAGATATGAATAATCGAAAAGCGATTATCGCTCATGTATTCGTAAACTTGTTTCTAACGTTTATTAGATATAAAGGTTAAGAAAACAGACAAGATTTTGTCATTTAATGAACACTGATCTAATAATTTTACATTTAAAATAATGTGATTACTGTTCATGTTTTAGTAACACATTTGTAAACTATCTAATAATAGTACATTTTGAGTACATTTTAATAGGAATATAGCAATATAGTGAAAATCGTAATTTTGTCGTTAGGTCAATAAATTTATGTTGACATTTATTAGTGATTATCATTACAAAGATGAATGTGATTCAAGCTCATAGAGAAGTAAACACAATGAAGAAAATTACCTTATTTAGGAATAAAATAATGACATTAGAAAACAAGTTGAAACCATCATCATCATTGAAATGATTCATGTGATAAAAGGTCATATAGTAAGTGTAAAAAGAAATAAGACTATTAGCTGTTTCATGAATACAAAATGCAAGAATTTCATATTCCGGTTTTAAATTAAAAGTTCCTGAAATCAGAACTATGCGTACGTAAGAAGTACGTCTGATCGTCAACTAAGCCTTCATTGTTATTCATAACTACTGATTATATCACCGTATTCATTTGCACACCTCTTCAACTATTTATTACTGGTACAATCACATTGTAGCAGTAATAAAAATACTCATAAAATATTCAAAAATAAAAAATAATTTAGCAAACAATCGTTTTCATTAACTTTATCATCACACTATACAGTTATAAGTCCATACTTTTAATATTTTATAAAGACCATTAAGAAGGCATTGCATTAATGAATTTGACAATGTAATGTGTGTGAACAGTGGTGAACGTTTACATCTGTAACGATATATATGATTACAAATTAAAAAGGTCATTCATTAAAGGTCGGGATGATTTGGGAGTAAAGTGTTCAGTCACAATAAGTGACTAAGCATTATAGGAAAATTGAAATTGCAAAAAATTTTGTGTCAATCAAATACATAGTAGGAGAATTGAATCTTGTCAATTGACATAATAATAATAATAATAATAATAATAATAATAATAATAATAATAATAATAATAATAATAAGGACAATAAATAAGAATAGCATTGTAAATGTTCATTGATACAGTTGACCTTATTCCTATTTATACATTTAATGCCGATAGATATTTGTTGAGTCAGTCAGACGACCTACGGTTGTTCATTTACACTTTATGAAACTCATATTTCAAATGCTTGTCAAAAATGGTTACATTCATAATGTCTAGATATAGTTCAGCTTTCATATTACGCCGGTTACCAATATTCACACATAACTGATTAAACACACATTAGTTTTTATTACGACCAAATAAGTTAATTTTAAAATACAGAACTACAAATAATTTACAAGTGAAAACAATAAACCGTTTCAATGGATTTTCAAATGAACCATATTGAAAT